TACCTGGCTTTACAGTGGTGCAAAAACATTGATCCAAGCATTAAAATATCTTGAATCCCCATAATATTAACATGGGACCACCCCCAAACCACTGTCCAATCCGTGGGTAGAGATGGTTCATGAGGGATGATCCTACATAAAAATCGTGGATCCATGAGGATCTGTGCCTCAGTTCCATTTTTTTTGCCCAACAATAGCTTTTCACTCCTCCACCCCTGCACTGGATTGACCGCACCCTTCCTTCCCCCCCCCACCTCCCCAAGGCTCTTGTTGCTGTTGCTGCCTCCCATCACCACCACCTCTGCTGGTTACCCAAAGAGGTGGGCATGATCAGGCAGGGAGGTTGAGTAAGGGGACAGGGAGGCAAGGAGCAGAGTGGCAGAGGGCGATCAGGGAGGGAACGATTGATGGCGGAAGAGCAAGGCACATCGGGCAATTCAAAGCAGTAGACCACAATTCAGCCCCAAGCTAAAATCAACGACCCTGCCAGGAGGAGGTTAAATGATGCCCTTCTGAACAGAATAACGCGACACCAGGGGAGAGGAAATCGAGATCCACTGTGTGTCGTGCGATCGACTTTTTTAACATTGATGAAATTGCAGCTAAATGAGGTTCATGTATCAGTTCTTATACATACTAGTATAATCAAGACCTTAAGCTAGCATCCCTGTACCAATAGATCTGAGACCATTTGAGCAGAATTCCTAGTCACTTGTCACTGTTTCTTCAACTCTGTTGTGAAGAGCTTTTCAGCAGCCGGTATTTGGGATTCTTGTGCCAAATTACCAGATGCTGCTAATGCCTCAGTTTGGTAACCCAAAGTGTAGGCAAAGCTGTCCCCTTTTGTTTACATATACACTAAAACTGGGCAGTATGTCATGCTTACTTTATTGTCTCTGTGATTCTTTGTGTGTTGGTTAAGTGTTCTTCAGTTGTCCTGAATATTTAAGTTAATGGGCAGCAATTAAAAGCTGGCACTGAGCCAGTGATATCATCTGGAATGATGGAAAGGGATCTTATCTGTCCGCTGGTAATATCAACATTTTATGTATGACTGGATTTGGTATCAGTTACTTACAGCGAACTTCATTTCCACATCTGTTGCCTAATCATTTGCAATTTACTCAGAACAAATTCTGAGGTAAGTTTTCTTTGTTCTGAGCCTTGGTGAGAATATAACAGTGAGATATATTTGAAAATAAGCACAATAATACCTCATCTAGCAAAACTGTGTGATAGTGTAAGAATGGTCTACAATATGTGCCATGTTTTATGAGGAAAATGTGTTATTCAAGTTATCAGAATTTTTAAAAATAAATTATTTACATTAGATTAATCAGCTCAAATGTTAGGGATTTTAAATGCTGGAGATGAAGTTTAATTGGCAAAGATAAAATCCAGCCAGTGGGTAGCAGGGATCAGGTTAAACAAATACCTTTTAATTTATTGATGTTCCTTTGTTTTTGGCATATTATTGTGTTGAATATTAGAAAGGGATTTTGGGGGGAGGAAAAGAAGCAATTAAACAAAAATCATATATAGTTCACCTTGCATGGGAGAATGAGAGAGCACCTTTGTGTTACATCTGATAAAAACACAAAAACCAAATGCTTGTGCAATGAGGCCGGTCAAAAGCAGGTTATATTGTGGAACAATTATTTTGCTATAATGAGATAGTTTATAATTGTCAATTTGATGGCACTTCCATGCACAATAGGAGTCGATCTTTGTTTAAAAACATATATCCTTCATTAAAAAGTGTTAATATTTTAATATTCTAAAATCTGTTCTGAAAAAATATGTTGAAAAAATATGTCTCCATACATTTCTTTGATCAGCTCTGAACTATCTTGCTTTTGTGCTGTTAGAAAATGACAAACTAACTCCAACCCCCCAACCTAGGAATCAAGTGTTCACATTGGCACTAGCAACTTGATACACTGTGGTGTTATAATAATTTTCTTTCTTGCCAATAATTTCTCAGCGATAACCATAGCAATCTCAGCCATGCACTACTTGTGACACTTATGCAGACGTGCAGCCTGGAGGCACAAAGACAGGTCACCTCTTGTCAGCAAATGCAGCTAAAGGCACCTGGTGTACACAAGCCTTGGTTGTACAGTATTTTTGCTTTGTTTCATTTTGTTTTTTAACCATAGCCACTTGACTAATGTTAAATGGAGCATAATTGCACATATTCTGGGACCAAGAAAAAAAGCCACTGGCTTGGAGACAATGGCATCTTTCTTATTTGTAACTAAATAAACTCAGATGTGCTTCTCAATATTTAATAGGAGCCAGAAACAACAAAATCAATGGAAGACAAGAAGGAGGATGGTAATGGTATCCTGCCATCTGCCTGGGGGCATGACCACAATGTGCTATGGATCCATCTGACCCTTTCCAACATATCTGTGTTGACACATTCCCAGCTGACTTGGCTAAAAGCCACTTTTGTGGAAATTAGAAGGAAGCTCAGTGAGGATCAAATATTGATTTGCTTTACCGAATCTCCCTACCCTTTCAACCTAGGTGGATTACTTGGGCTAATAAAAAGAGTTTCATTTCTTCTTATTTCTTAGCATATCATAGTAAAGTCGAGGCAGGAAATATTCTGCCGTCCTCTCTCAATACCCTGTTTTCTTGGTTATTCTAATTTCTTCAAATAGGTTTGCAACAACCCTTTGCAACAAATTTGGTGTTAGCCTCCTGATTACATAAAGCAAACCAAATCGTATGTGAAGAAGAAAAATGGATACAAAATGAATATGTCAGTTGTATAGAAATATACGTTAAGACTGCGCAAGTGCTTCAGCATGCTAAGGGAAAAGAAATGGTCCAAGGACAATATGGGCAAAGGACACACACACGTATATATATTGAATTATGAAACATTAGTGATTTGGCTCCTCCTATGAAAATGCAGGCTTTCATAGATATATTTCAAGCCTCAATTGTGTAATCTGTTGGCATACATGCACACACACAGAGAGGAAATGCATCCAGGAAATATAAATCTGAATGTACATATGGCAAAATGCTTAAGATTAATCAAAGCCTCATGTGCTGGGTTGTATTAACTGGTGATACTAACAGTATCCTTGAGACTTTTTTTTTAAAAAAAAGAAAGCATATTGTAGTGATATGACTGCATTTAACACTGTACTGATGATAAAGCCTGTTCCATAACTCATTGAATATGAGTAGCCTACAAGTCTTTCCCCTCCATGAACTGGATCCAGAACAGAGCAGGAATCAGTCTTCTGTGACTGGATATGAGAAGCCTACAAGTTTTTCAGAACAGAGCAGGAATCAGTCTTCTGTGAAGATGAAAAGACATTAAGAAAAGGAAGAATAAACCAATGGAGAGATGTTTGATCCTGGCCAAGCTTCTTGAAAAATTATGGCAGGAATTACCTGTAACATGCACATTTGTAACTTATAGAAAAGGATCAAAAGAAATAGGTATGGATGAGCTTGTGATTGCGGGATTTCCCCAGAACATGGTACTGTACTAATCTTCATTGTTGTTTCTCTGGCAAAGGGCACAGAGCTGTTATCTAATTGGAGGTTGCTAAGTACAACCGCTTTGCTGCACCTTTCACTTTTCATTGGGTGATGATCCCTCACGTGTTGCAAAGGAGGCATACCGTTCATCTGCCACAAGCAAAATGCTGCCACTGTGCACGTTGAGCAACCCAAACTGAAAAGATGGTCCCTTTTATGGTAGGAAGCCACATCTGGCAGAGGCATAAATCCTCAGTGAAGAGGACATTTCTGCACATCAGCCCTCAGATCATCAGCTAAGACTATAATTAGAAATTAGTATGTCAGCAATCATGATGCAATTAGCTTGACATAGCTGAGTAGGACTTTTAGCTTGGGAAGGGATACCCTCTAAACTGTTCTGATCTTTATTCAGGAAGAGGAAGAGATGACTTTGTAGAGCAATGAATCAGACTCCAATAATGAATCAACTAGTACAAATGCATACTTCCAACAGATATTGAACTTTTCAATTTCTCCATTTATGATGTTGTCTTTGGCAATTTGAACCTATCAAAACAGGTACAGTGGTGTCTCGACCTACGGAATTAATCCGTATTGGAACGGGGTCCGTAGGTCAAAAAGTCCACAGGTCGAAAATGAATTGAAAACCATTTAATCCAGAACCGGCCCAAGAAAACACCCCCCCACAAAAAAAAAAATTTAAAGGGAGCTGCTGCTGGAGGACTCCAAGGGCTTTGGCACTGCTGCCAGAGGCCTCTCGGAGCTCCCCTGCCACGGCAATCGCCACTGCCGGAGGACTCTGAGGCCTTCGGTGCTGCAGCTGGAGGCCTCTCGGAGGTCCCTCACCCCCACCGATGCAGGCTTTCCCAGGGTGGACCAGGCCCATCAGGGGAGGGCTTCCCCCAGTAGGCCCGGTCTACTGCCTGGGAAAGCCTGGTAGACCAGGCCTACCAGGGGAGGGCTTCCCCCAGTAGGCCCAGTCAACTCCCCAGGCGTTCCCAGGGAAGTCCTGGAGTCTGAGCATGGCCAGGATAGCCCAGCGTGGCTCGGCACCCAGCAGCAGTGGTGGCCATGGGGGGGACCTCCGTCTGCCTTCCAGGGCTTCTCTGCCGCCATGGGGGCACCCAGTAGCAGTGGTGGCCGTGGGGGGGACCTCCGTATGCCTTCCAGGGCTTCTTTGCCACTATGGGAGGCATCGCAGAGCCCCCCCCCGCTGCCAAAAGTGCCTCTGAAGCACTATCGGTGGCAGGGGGGAACCTCTGAGAAGCCTCCCATGGTGGCAGAGAAGTCTTGGAAGGCATCCAGAGGCACGACCTGTGGCCTACAGACTGGAAGGGGGAGGAGGGGAATTTGAATTTGGCGCTTTCCCTGCCTCCCCCTTCTGGTCCGTAGGTTGATTCTCCGGCTACAAGTTGAAGTGAAACTTTGCGGCCGGAGAAGTCCATAGGTCAAAAAGTACGTAAGTGGAGCCGTCTGTAAGTCTACTGTATTCAAATATATATGTGAAATCCACATTTAAATATTATTTTGAGATAAAATGCATATTTGAAATCAATATTAAAATGTGTGCCTAGATACATATCTGGACACCACAATGGAGAAGGCACCAAGGTACATGGTAGGACATTTATTGTTGTTGTTGTTTTGATCTATATACCACCCTGTAATGCTAAAGTACTCTCTGGGCAGTTTACAATATAATTATGCAAGGAAGAACCTTGTTTTGAAGACCCAAATAGATCTTCATGTAGAGAAGGACAGTCCTTCAGTATACCACTCTTGAACCATTTAGTCCATTAGAAAGGTACTAAGAGTTGCTGGTGAAGACCAAAATATTTTGCTGCCAGAGGCAGAACACCAAACAGCACTGCCTTCTCTGATCACAGCTATAAGGTATAGACACAAAGGCAAGACAAGTTCATTTAGCAGCCTAAACCAAAAATCCCAGAGGTACCCCCTGCTACCTAATTTTATAAAATGTATGGATAAATGAAGGATCTAATAATTTGCTATCCTTTCATGATACCAAACATCAGCTGCGTCAAAAGGATGCATTTTGTCTAATGGTTGGAGGTGGCCCTTTCAGTTTTGAACAAATCAAGGGCTGGTGAATTCCACAAGTTGAAGTCCAGAACCACAAATGTGCACATCTGTAATTAGAGCCAAGGCAGATTAAACGTTTGTCTTTGTTGCAGGGCTGGATCGGCCACCATCTTCAGCCTCCATGAGTGGTCACCTGAAGTGGTACTCCCAAGTTCTTCACAGTCAAGTTCTGCTGTTTCCTCTATAGTAGTGGTTCAGCCTTCGCCACCAGCTGTGCTGACCAAGAACATCTGGGTCACCCAAGACTGGGAACCACTGCGCGGTGGCTTCCTTTTTCTCTGTCTAACATCCTCTGTTGAGTAAAGAGATGCACACAAAGAGCACAATGTTGTTCCTTCAAAGCAAGAAGTACAACCATTAGTCTACTCACTGCACAACCAGCATCACTATACTTCTTTGTGTAGCAGGAATCATCATGCACAGACAAAGGCAACCCAAAGCGAGTGTGAAGCTGCAAGTCTTTGCTGGAGACTTCAATTAAATGCTCTCAGTACAGCAATCCTAAATCTGCTTACTCAGACATGAACTCTGTTATGTTCAGTGAGACCCACTTCCAAGTTAGGATGCATAGCTGCATCTGTAATCCATTGGTTTCAGTTGGAAAGACTTAGTTGTGTATGCAACTAAAATTAGTGGGGAATAGAAGGGTATTTGCTTTGGCTGGATAAGGTCCACAGCTGATGGGTTGTTCGCTTGTTGTTGTTCTATTTTCAGTTATCCCCCTTTAAAAAGGGAATGGCTTCAAAGAATTCCTAAACTGTTTTTCATTATCCACGGCCAATCCTGTATTATTTACAATTAAGCACTGATTAAGATGCAAATAAATGTTGGGAGGGGCTGTGCCTGGGTCATTAAAAACCATGTGCAGGATTTAGGAATAAGGAAACATGCTGTACATGTCATTCCCTCCCCTCTTATCTTAGGCAGCCTACTATTGTCAATCCTTCTTTTATTGCCACATCTGGACTTAGTAAAGTGTACAGCTGGGATGAGCTGCTAGATATCATTTGATGCTTTGCTTCTCTCTGGGGGGCTCGGAAAACCTCCCCTCTCACTAAGGAGTAATTAGGCAAGCTATCTAATAAAGTTATACTGAACAGACACAATGAAATGAGATTTATGATGCCACTGACACAAAGCATATGGGAACCATATCAGAATTTGCTGAAATTTCACCAGTTTATCCACTTGCAGATTACTCTGCAAGGGGGAAAACAGCATGACTTGTGCCCAGTCCTTCTGAATCTTCCTGTGATCCATGTTTTAATTCACTTGCATGGAACTGGGAAAAGAGATTTCGCCACTTAATTTGCAGAGGTGCGAAACTGATATATATCGTTATGGGAATCATCACGCCTTTTTTGTTGCATTTGGGAATGCCTGGCTTCAGTTCCAGATTCCACAGCCATCATCTCACATCCCATTATGGGAATCTCTTAAATCTGAAAAAGAGAAAGAAAAAGAAGAAGCTATGTGGTTCTTGCACAATATGCATAAACAGGGGTAGGGAGTGCCTTTATTAAACCATTAAATTACTAGAAACAAGAGAGGTGTAGGTGGGGGCACAAGGAGAGAATCAGAAAGGACTGAAAATCATCATGGCCAGATGTTGAAGCTTTGTGATCTGTATTTAAATTACTAAATTGGAGGTTATAAAGTTGTAAAACTATCTGGAGGTGTGTTAGTATCAGATTTCACACGGGGATATCAACTTCATTATCTTCTTCTAGTTTTGTGGGCAAAGGAATGCCATTCCTCAGTGAATCTTCAATTGCCTTTCGTTGAAGCACAATTGTTTGGAAGCAGGAGCACCCCATATAAACCTTGGCACTCCCCATAAAAAAAAACTAGAGATTACAATGAGTAGCATACTAAGCAGTCAATGAAGTTATGACCCATGCATATTTTCAATTTTCTTAAATCTGTGATTTCATAGACAGTTAAGAAAGTGTGTACTATACTTCTCTATTCAAATTAATCAATGATGGATTTTATTCAAATCCAGAGAACATAATAAAATGCATCCCAATGTGGAATACGAAAGTAAAGGAGAAGAGTTATTTTACCTGAGATTAAGTAGTAAGTTGTGAGTAGAGTTAGCCCATTCAGTTAATGGACCTTACACAGGTGTTGCCTCAGCAAATCCCCACTGATTCAATGGTCCTAATCTAGTTGCGGTTTCCTACTGGATTTCGGGGATCTTGTGGCTATTTTTTTTTCTAGTTTACTATCCAACCAGCAGATTCCTAACTGCTCTAGCAGAAACCCATTTAGGCAGGAGCCTCTTGGGAAAAGGAGGTGAGGATCCTAATTTGGGGGCATAGGTGACTTAACTGGGCTGGCCACCTCCACCACCCCCATCACATAAGAATGACATTGTACAACAAAACCTAGATGTGTAAAATAAAGGCCACACCTGCATTGGTTATAGCAGAAGAGCAGCAGTGCAGCAGGAGGAACGAATCCCTTCATCCGATGACTTAATTGCCTTCTTACTCTGGTCACTCAATTGCCGTCTTATCACCACGTCCCGCGATACTTACTGGGTAACCATGGATTGGTTAGTGGTTGACATTTGGGTGGCCCCACGTTCTTTTAAAAAACAAACCAGAATGAAATTCTCATCCATCTGGACACCATAGTTCTAATCCTGCTATATATTTCAGTTTAAAATCATAAAATGCAATTATGGTGAAAGGGGGGAAACACCACAGAACACCAGCCTGAATAATCAAAAAGTGAAAGTATTTGTTTCATTGTTCACTTAGAATAGGGGATGGAAGCTTCAGACCTAGGTTTCCGATTTCAGTTTACAGAAGCTTCAGCTAGCGCAGCCAATGCTAAAGGATTATGAGATTTGTAGTCAATATCATGTAGAGAGCCAAAAATTTCCCATAATTCAAACACAAGAATTAAATACGTTGCACAAACATGTGCAACACGCAGTGAGGTTTCCCCATCCGCAACAGGTGTTCAAGACACGTAAGAGAGTAACAGTCACATTCCTATGCTTGCAGCATTCCTAAAGCCATAGATTAACAAATTCTTCTAAATAACATAGTAGAAGTAAAAGGACTTGAGATACCTTGTCTTGAAGAAGGCAGTTGTTTCTCCTTTTGTCTAAAACACACATGCAGTATTTCCTAAAAGTCATTTGGACAAGGAAACCACATGATAAAACATAACCCGCCTTTGAAGTGTTAGAAAACAATGAAAAAATCTATTGTAAAAATTTAGTACATGGGGAAGGTAATGATTGTTGTAAACAATAGTTTTGTTTTCTTACAAGTGTGTGCTGCTGTGGCATGCTGTGTTTTGGAACAGAATGCAGAAAGTTTATGGAGAAGTCACTCAGCTGGGAAGGAAACCAAATACTCTGTCACATCCTTCTATGTGACACTACTGACTTTCATCAGCATTACTTAAGAACTAGCTGTTTTCCCTCTGCTTTTTCTATGTTACAGGTGTGGAAATTAGATGCAGCTGAAATCACTGCAGATTTGAAAAAAACTTATTTGAAAAACACTTGGGAGGAATTTGAAATGTTTCCTGTTGAGGATGGACTGTGCTCATGTCATGACAAATTGTGGTGTGGGGTACTGAAAGCTAGTTTATTCCAGTGTCTCTGCTCACAAACTTGTCTCTGCTCATAAGCCATGGTCTATTAACTAGACACAAACCAATCTGGAACCATGGTTCATTTATAATTCATGGTTCATAATCTGAACTATATGGCTTATCATAGTATTTGAACCTACAACAGTAGGATTGGAAGAAAAAGAAACAGAAATGGGGAAGAAACGGTATGGTACAATTAATAGACTAAACAGCAAACTATGGTTAACATAAACGATGGCTCATTCTGATATCCCTATTTGCCTGCTCTCTGAATAGGCTTCCAAGCAATGCGGTTCTGTATGAGCGTAGGCAGTAGTATGGTCTCTCCTGTTGAGTGGGACTGCTATCAGATAAGTGTTTTCTTCAAAAAAAGAAAAAAAAGACAGGTGTTTCTTGTGCAAAATCCAAAACCATAGGTGAGCAATACATGTATTGTGTGTCTGTTTTGTGCTGTCAAATTGGAATTGACTTACAGCAACCATAACAGGACTTTCAAGTGAGATATCTAAGGAGTGGTTTTACCAGTTTCACTTCCGCATTCAGTTTTCATGGCTGAGCAGGGATTCAGACCATGTTTTCCAGTCCATCATTCTATCCATGACACCATACTTGGGAGTCCATTAGACCACTAAAATCTGAAAAACAGGCATATCCTCAGGCAGGGCACTGCAAAGCTTATGGGGCCAGGGAAACAAACAAGATCAACAATCATCCTGACCAGAGGATGGCCTTTAGGGTCCACATTTCAAGTTTGCTAGACTTCTTTAAATGTATACTCTTCTGCAGCCTAGCATACAGCTGGGGTGAATTTCAAACTTTTCTCTTTCTCCTACCCTCTCAAGCTTTCCTCAGGGATTTGGAAGTAATCCGTTTTTGAGATGGCAACGGTCCAACAAATGTGCTAGCCACATTTTGTTTTGCATGTCGCTGTATGTGACGACTATTTATGTAGCTTGGAGCATGGTTGCAAGGGACACTGATAATTGTGGAGCATGGGATATGAATTCACAGACATGAGGGCAACATAGTAATATACATATTTTCCCTTTTCTTCACACATTGAAATGAACAAGTAGAAAAGTGGTTTGTGTGTATGTGTGTTGCTTTCACTTTTTCAAACCAACATTTTCAATAATGCAGAAATATGCAGTATGGTCTCAGGAGGAATAAACTTTTTAATGTGATTCTGTTAGGAACAAAGTCTGAAGAAATGCATTCTAGTAAGGGGCATAACTTTGTCCTATTTATCTGTGTGGCTACCCACAGTTTGGAGAATTGCTGAACCAGCAAAAGCTCTCAAACTAAGGAAGCATGGCAGAAAGGAGTCGACACATGCAGAAACATTTTGAAAAGGCATGGTGCCCTTTTATCACCAACTGTAAAGATCCTTAATCTGAAATTAAAAGAAATGCGATAGACAGATAGTAATTCATTTTCCTTTTTAATGATCTGATCTGATTATCCTTTCTCCATTTCTAAGTTCTTACTGATTAAAAAAAAAAAACCCAAACTCCCTGGGTATCAATAGGTAGGAGAAACTTCCCCATAAATAACCTCTTATTGTGGCAACAGTGAAATATATACTTGAGAAACCTAGCTAAGGGTGTGACCCCATAAGGCAAATGTTCCCTAGTCATAACCCTGGAAGATCATTGTAGGAATTATGAAATAATTTATCTGATCAGTGGTGTAACTGTGTTTCCTCCCCCCCCCCTTACCAGGAAGCTCCTGTTATTTTGTTCCAATGGCATTTTGATACATTCCTTAGTGGTATGACACGTGTGTGCAGTCCTATTGATTCTTTTCCAAAGCCAAGTCACCAGAGAAGGCATCCATTATTACTGCTGTGCAGCTGTCCTCTATAATTTTTTTAAAAATCCACAGTCAGTATGTCAATTCATAGATAAACTTATGTCAATGGCCAGGTATGCCAGGGCATTGGTAAGTGCTGCATCATTCTACCCGCTGTCTGGCAAGTGACACAGCCCTGGATGGGATACTGGGTCCATTCTTTCAGAGATGCCGGCACAACAGAGGAAAATTTACCAAACAGGAACCCATACCCGACATATCTATGTATTGTTTTTTTAATGAAAGTAAGGAACTGTAGTCCACCATAAAACAAGAGAGAAAATAAATTCAAATAGGAGAAAATGAATTGGTAATATTAAAATGGTGGTCTTTTAGACCAGATGGGCAGGGTAGAAATCAAATATATAAATAAAATAAATAAAATACATTGGGATGTTTGTTCAGGTATATGTACGACGTGACTGTGATGCAGTACAACAAAGGCATGGAACATATTGTTAGAACAAGGGAACATTTTCCTGGTTTGACTGCAGCCTGAGAGGCCCTCAGTATTTAAGCAAGGTAAAAGGTAAAGGTTCCCCTTGACAATTTTTGTCCAGTCGTGTTCGCCTCTAGAGGGCGGTGCTCATCCCCGTTTCCAAGCCATAGAGCTAGCATTTTTGTCCGAAGACAATCTTCCGTGGTCACATGGCCAGTGCGACTTAGACACGGAACGCTGTTACCTTCCCACCGAGGTGGTCCCTATTAATCTACTCGCATTTGCATGCTTTCGAACCGCTAGGTTGGCGGGAGCTGGGACAAGTGACGGGCGCTCACTTCGTCACGTGGATTCGATCTTACGACTGCTGGTCTTCTGACCCTGCAGCACAGGCTTCTGCGGTTTAGTCCGCAGCGCCATCACGTCCCTAAATACCATGTCAGCATCTCTTTTCAGTCACACCACTTGTGTTGCATTAATATGGTGAAGATGTAGTGGTAGTTTCCATGATTTGTGAGTCATATGTGGTGTGTAGCTAGGACCCTGTCCAGATATCTTTTCCATCTCTGTTTTTCAACATTGCCAATGGTGGGACATGAAGCAGGAGAACTGAAACCTGTACATAGGAATATGCATTTGTTGCTGCTGAGAAGATCAGGAATGCAGATTAGTTGCCAGAGAGTGCACTTGCTCCAGTCACTCTTTTCACAGAATGTATATAATAAAAAGGGAAAGCAGCTTAGTTCCCTCCTCCCATAACACTGGTGTCTAATCCATGCTAATTAATGCAAGAGACACTAGATTAACCTCGATTTTATCTTACATTTCAAATTGTATTTCAAGTTCTAAACAAGAATAGGCACAAGCTGCAGATTAAATTAAAAGGTATCCTCAGGGAAATTACAACAACATTGACAATTAAACCACCCAATGGCCGTTTCATACAATTTTCACAAATATGTAGTTTGTAAAGTGAGTGGCTTGGATCTAGAATAGCCCATCCTACATACAGAAGGGCTCTTTTCATTTCTGGAATGGGTGGCAAGTTAGCAGAGGCTCCCATTCATGATAAAGGAGAGGGAAGCCAATGCTGTTGAATTCCCCACATCCTGGAGGCTCCTATAAAACTTCCCAAGTTCTTCCTAAGTGACCTTTAGCCATCCAGAGTAGTTTTTCAAGGAGGCTGAAGAAAGAAGAAGCAGAAAATTTATCTACTTCTTCGGAATTTTGACAACGCAAAAGAGATTGCAATAAATGGGACATAGCTCAGAGTAACTTTTATTTGCATGCAAGATCTGCTATATTATTGCAGATCATACTTGCCGCTGTAGAAAGACTGACTGACATGATCTTTCCTAAATTTTAAATGCCTCCCTTTCTGAGCACCCTATTTTGAATTTAATACATTTCGTGACAGTAAGGATATTTTTAATGACTGTGTAGTGAGGAGAAAAACAAGACCACCGTACATTTATAATACAGTTGATCAGCCTCAGATTAAGGGATATTTCATGAAGCCCGTAATGTGAGTTTGAGGAAGTGCTGGGAAATGTGGAGCAGCTTTCCTAGGAGCTTTATTGATCAGGATAATTTGTATTGTAAGATTTGTATTTTGAAGTAATAAAATTAGGATTATAAATGCTAGTGGGAGATCTCAGTAGACATTTTATGGGAAATAACACCTTTGGATCTTCTGAGGCAACTTCCTATCAACTCATTCCCATTTGGATTGCACACACAGAGGACAGGGAGGAAACAGTTTGGCTTTCCTCCCTCCCCCTTCCATAATCCTGATCCAGATCAGGATGAGGGATGGGACTTTCAGGTTTTCGTAAATGAAAAATAACACAAAAAGAGGATCTTCCTTTCATTTTCAGGTGCTTTTTCTGATTTGTGAGAGACGTTTGAAATCTGAATCATTCAGTTTAATGAAAGAGAGGAATCTGACCCATGTGGTCTGAGAACTTGTTGGTATGGATAGTAGCAGATACTAGCAACCTCTTGCCATGAACACTGATGATGAATCAATGATCATGATGATGATGCCACACTACATCGGTCTGATGATGATAATCATTACGATGATTTCCTTTTGTCATCTGTATATTTCCTGCAAATGAACTAATGAGGAAGAGGAGGATGGTGATATGATGATAAATGTGAATTCCAAAGTACTGTTAGTGCCTGCGTAGGTCTGGTGATTATAGATTTTTCTTTCTCATGGACTCTTCTTGTCACCTTCTTTTGGAGTAGATGATTGTCTGTTGCTTTGTTCCTGCTATTTTAGAGAAGTTTTGAGGGTTTTGTAGCGCTTTATTTGGTCTAGCACCAGAAACAAAATTGAAAGAAAACAATCCCCACCCCC